GCTAGAAGATTGCATAAACCCAATTTTTGGCTGAGAACATGCAAAAACGAGATAGTATTCCCTAATGAAAAGGCAAATAATAAGAGTTTTTACAAACTGAGAAATTATACATGTATTCATGCGACGAAAGGCTCATAACTACTGTAGCATTCATATTAGGAAAATAAAACTGAGTTGTCTCCAATCTTGACACGTCTGTTTCGCCTTTCCTTGGAGACGGGTCTAGTACCGGTTGCTTGGAAGCTGGCCAACGTACAGCCTGTGCCTAAAAAAGGTAGTCGTGCCGACCCTAACAATTACCGCCCTATTTCGGTCACGTCCATACTCTGTAAGAGCATGGAACGTGTTCTTAACAATAGACTCCTGGCATACCTTGAAGGTAACGATCTCCTCAGCGATCGGCAATACGGGTTTCGACGTAACCGATCGACTGGGGACCTTCTTGCGTATGCCACTCACATATGGAGCGAGGCCATAGAGGGGCACGGAGAGGCACTAGCAGTCTCCCTCGATATTTCGAAGGCCTTTGACAGGGTATGGCACGACAGTCTAATCGGCAAGCTTCCTGCATATGGACTTCCTACTGGTCTGTGCAGATGGATAGCAGACTTTCTGAGGGATCGGTCAATACGAGTAGTCATCGATGGCTGCTCGTCTGACCAATTCGGTATTAATGCCGGCGTCCCTCAGGGGTCAGTACTTTCAGCGACGCTCTTTTTGCTGCACATAAACGACCTGCTTAAGCCCGGTATCTTTGGGTATGCAGATGACAGCACAGTTGTTGAAAGGTATGTGTCCGGTGCGCGGACTAGCGGAACACAGATCCAGTCTTTAAGAGAATCCATGGTCGAACGTTTGAACTCGACCTTGAAGGCGGTGTCCGACTGGGGTGACGCCAACTTGGTTAGGTTCAATGCTAGCAAGACCCAGGCGTGTCTATTCTCCGCCAAACGGAGTCAATTTCCGCTGACTCCTACTTTCCGGAATGTATCCGTACCGATAACCGATCGTCTTGAGCTTCTTGGTGTAACTCTGACGCCCACGCTCAACTTTGGCTCCTATATAGAGTCAAAAGCGCAACTGGCTGGTAGGAGGTTGGGTGTCCTTTGGAGGGTGAGACGGTACTTCACGCCGAAACAATTGCTGAGCCTGTACCAAGCACAGGTTCGGTCCTGTATGGAGTACTGCTCTCATCTTTGGGACGGCTCGGCTAAATATCAGCTGGACGCGTTAGAGCACATTGAGAGGCGTGCCAGGAGGCTCATCGACGATGATGCGCTTGTGAAGGCTCGGCTTCAAAGCCTCGAACACAGGCGTAAGGTTGCAAGCCTTTCGGTTTTCTACCGGATACATTTCGGGGAGTGTGCGGGGGAATTGCACAACTTGATTCCCCCTAGTCCTTTCCATCATCGTACCACAAGACAATCCGCGAAGCGTCACCGATTCATGGTAGATGTTCCGCCCACACGCACGAAGCGCTTTGCTTCAAGCTTCCTTGTGCGTACTGCTAAAGAGTGGAATTCTTTGCCAGAGTCTGTATTTCCTGAAGGGTATAACCTGGGAGTCTTCAAGGCCCGAGTGAATAGGTTGCTTATGGGACGACGTGCTCCAACGTAGACCGCATCATCGCTTACCAACAGGTGAGATAGTGGTCAAACGTCGCCCCATCAATTATAAAAAAAAAAAAAAAAAAAAAAAAAAACAGTGCATTTCAGCTATAATCTTCAAAATTGAGTGGTAGAAGAGTGATATTTTAAGCATTACTTAGTGATAAACAATTACAATTTCAATTAAGTAATCTAGTTTCTTACACTCATGCATTCCCATCTCTAGCTCGATATAACAATTTACGGTTATCTAGTAACGATCACTATTTCTTAACCATCACGTCCTTTTATGTCAGTTCAACAACCCAATTAGTCTTATTTATTATCTGTGGTTCATTAAACGTCAATAAATATGGACGATTGAATTTCTGTAAAGGCCTCATCAAACAATACCATATGTTCTGTGAATAATTAATCTCATTGTGTTGGTATTACGATATTCTTTGCTTATTGCGTTATCTTAATTTATATTAAGCAGTGTGTTAAGATTTGAAGGTTAATTATGTACGGTTGTTATAAAGCATACACCCCTGGGCCTGGGTCATTGAAGATGATTATGAAGCTATAAATTACTTATATCCAACTATGTCTATATTAAATTAAAGTAACTCGAAGTTCTTTAATATATCGCTGCCTTATATCATTTCATTAGAATGCAGCAAATATGCCACCAACTATAATGTTTGTTCTATATTAAACAAAAATATTACCAATATTACGACGTCTTACCTACTTTATATTCACCTATGTCAAAAAATCTCCTCAAGTCGTGTTAAGCAGCTTAACACGAAACATATAGGTGTTGTATTACATAGAAAGTTCAAATCTAACGTAATTATGGCGGATACGTTTGTGCCCATAACCTCCTGTCTATTATTAGTAACATTTATTGGCATAGTACTTTTTACTAAAGGTTTTACCTGTATGAATTAGTACCCTTTGTCCTTCTCCGTAACGTCGTCTCAGCTATACGATTTCAAGACGACTGGTCGAGTTCATAAAGCTTGAAGAGTTACAAACAAATAAATTCACTATAGCATTTATAAGGAACGTTAACCCACTGCGAATTTCTCCTATTTATAATTATTACTTGGTATAAAACTTTAGGGTATCAATAAAAGGTATAGAAACCTCATTACTGCTTTGCTATAAAACGTCAGCACCGCATGTGGGCAATTGCCCAAGTAATATCAGCTTGCATTAAAGGTTATTATGTCATGACACTTGATACAAGATACAAGTGAGTGGTGAAATTCGTTGCAATATTCATGACAGTTTACAAACTGACCTGTTAAATGTTAATCTAGTGGTCGTATGCTTGATGTTATGACTATGACTGAAGGCGAATCTTGAAAAATGATATGGTATTCATAGTTGGTAGGCTATATTTTAGGCAAGTTAAAAAAAGTTTATATTGTACATTACCATATCAGAAATATTCGGATCATGTTTATGAAGGTATCTAAAGTACTGTTACGCTTTTTTTTCATGTATATGAAATAATACTTTAACTTAACAAAAACATCGAAAGCTCTTAAAATACAAACCTCCTATAACCACGTAGAATATGTGTATTGAATTAGAAAACCTGTCTGTTTTGTAGTTCGACGTTACGACTATGTCTGCTATAGCATGTAGGCGAGCCGAGAAAATTACCTATTAGTATTTCAGGCGATCGGGTTAGTTAGGACAAGACTTTCTCCGTTTACATTTCGCTGTTGGTATTTGTGCTATGGGAATGGCTACGCCCTTAGGTTAAACGATGTTGGGCCTCGTTTAGATTTAGATACACATCAAAATACGAATACTCTACAGTTTAGAGAGTCACTTTTGTAAGGGCCGTTCCTCCTTTACACAAATCTTGATAGACTTATCTCTTCTAAAATAATTACAGCTCAAACCATTCTATTATGAATAACAATTATGGTAAACATTATCACACAGAAGAACATTTAATCTAGTCACTAGGTATTATTAAAATCTTCCCTGAGTTAATTGCAATCTCTTGCTCCGGTGAACGTTTTAAGTGTTCGCTTTATACGGCTTCAATTGTGTTGCTTCGTTCATTTGTATATCAAAGTTGCAATGAAATGACTATGCATTAATTTATATGCTCTCCACAAACATACCGCTACCTATTGATAGGGAGCCACGCCTAGACGTTTAGAATAGATAGCTTGTCTAGTAAATGTAGATGCATTTATATCTTGCCCTCCGCCCGGCGCAGCCGCCAGCTCACGGCGTTAACCCGCAACATCCAGGGACCGTTAGCTCGCCTGATAGCAATCACCGAGATTATGCCCCCGTCGTACTACACACAAGTGCATCGTCTACCTGATATACCGTAAAAGCTGTAGATAAGTGCATCGATCGGGATTATGTATCGAATCAAATTTCTAAAGCGATTACTTGCCACGGAATAGACTTGCCATATTTATGGTCGATATTTATTTGAATAGGCAGATTCGAGTATAATTTTCAATAACGACATGCGAAACTGCGATGGTGAAAGTGCCTATACTAACATATTTTTACATTGTTTAAGGTAAACTTTGCAATGTTTCCTATTTCTAGCACACATTCGCGGTGATTGAAAGAAATGAGCATTGCCATCGATTATTCAGTGGGTCAATCTCCTCGGAAACAGTGATTATACTGTAACACGTTTTTATGGTTTCCTCAAAAACGAAATCCCATTAGCGAAACTAATTTGTCTGTCTGACCGAGGCGCAAATAAAATTACTGAATGGATTGAAGTTATGCGAATTTCAATTTAAAGTTTTATGGGCCGTTTCTTTCATCTCTGCACCATAGTAATGGATGCGTTGTCTGACTTGTTATGTAAAACGATAAAAGAACATCGCGTGGATGTTTGTATCAACAAATGAAGCGACACGAGATGCCGCAAAAAGCCTCTAACATGATAAGCAAGAATTAAATGAATGGTCATTACTTGGCTTACTTGAGTAGTAGCGTACGGTGGGATTATTGCTGTTGGCTCTGCTATTACAGCTGTGGGATAATGACAAAATAACAAACAGAATGCCGAGTAATGGCACGAATAGCGAACTGATTTAAACAACAGGTCACTGTCATCTTGTTAGTACAAGATTGTAGATATTTGCTCCTCGTATATTATGAAGCTTGTTTGAGAAATTACATGGCGTGTTACGTGCATGTATGGAAGCTGTCGGCGTCCACAACATCTTAATTGAAACATCACAACGATAGTTGCTTACCTACTGTTCTTAATGAAGTGATTTCTAATAAACTTTTTTATGGAGATGATGATGCATTTTGTATCTTAGATGTATAAGGATGAAGTAACATTTTCCTTGATAATGACAATTATATTTTATTCCTCTATTGAAATCGTGTTCTCATTTGTTACAGGGCCTTGAGATCGTGAACCCACAAGCAGCGGAGACGCGCATCAACGAAGCAAATGCCAAATATTTCTCGAACACATCGGGTTTCTTGTCTGTCGGCAAGAACACGACTTAAACTTAAAAGAACTACGTAATTTTACGATATTAAGACTTGTGAATAAATTACGTTTAAGTATAAACTTGGTTGTATTCTTGTGGCTACTTATAGCCAGTCTAGCGCTAAGTTGGCCAAGAAAAACGTGAGCGTATCCATACAAACGATTTCACCCCGACTCGTGTTTTGAATTAACTTAAATGTTGCATTGTCAAACAGAAATGATCCAACGCTTAAAGACATTTGAATACGAAATATTTTGCAAGGAGACGCTAGTGTTTAAATTTTAATTACAATTTACAAGCCATTGCCAAGTCAATGACAGAAAGTTGGTTGCCGCTTTGAAGAAAACGTGTGTTTGCTGTTATAAGAGAAAAAGACCAAAGTAAGTATGTAAATTGTGGTTTTCATTTCAAAAATCCTATGCAATAACAGTTGTTCTACCCAAAGTTATCACTAGTCACAATTATGTACTGTGGAGAACCTAACGGGTTACTGGGGCTCCGGCTCGACGTGCAGGAGAAGGAACGGGGTGGTTTTTAGTCTGATAACAGTCTGACACCCTCTCCCGCCTTACCCAGGCGGGAGCAGTCATTCGATGATTTGATGGTCATCGAATGATGATGATGATTCCCTTTAAAAAAAATCTTAAATAGGTACCTAGTTCCGTTCCAATTGAGTTGAAAACACAAGTGGCTATAAACCTTATTGTTACTTATAGATTTAGATGGTGAGTGTGGTGTGCAGGTCGCCTAACTGTCGCATCCAAAAACAATATTTTAGGCCACAGGTTTTGTGCCACATTCTAACATGCACAAATCGTGCCTCGTTAGTTTGACCTACAGATGGTTACCGACAAAATTGAATAGTTGGTTTTATAACCTCTTAGGTATTAGAATCTAAAATCCGAAGAAGTCTTACTATACTTTATCTACGGAGGTACTTACCTTAATCTTATGATTGATGATGTTTATAGGTTGGTAGGTATAGGTCAGTCGTCGTCCGTAAATTTTAACATATTTTAGGCTATCTTTAATTAGCAGTTTTTAAGGTTAACATCAACTTCAGTCCCTCTCTTATAAAACACTGAAGTTCAGCCGATTCTGGATCAAACTTATTCCTGACCCCAATTTAGAAGAAAAATAAACAATAACAAAGATACCTCACCAAAATAAACGGATCAAGGTTGATCGTCATCTGTTACTTAAGGGCTCGCACACAAGACTGCGATGCGATACGATGCAAATTGCTGCGATGTAATTTCGTGCGACAAGGCGTCTCCCAGGGTGACCATTTCTTCGACGACCGTCAACCGTATTAAACGTATTTTAAATTGAAAACTAGGTCGTGACATAGATCGTAAAAAGAAGTGTGCACTTCTGTTATTGTTTACGAGATGCAAGAAAAAGAAACAGAAGATTTTGGGAAGATAACATATTGATGCGCGATGCGAATCAATTCCCAAGTTCTTGCGATGCGTAGAGCGAGCTCGCACATTTTTACGATGCGACGGCGCATTGTAGTTTTGTGTACGAGCCCTAAAAGCCACCTGGAATTTGTTACAAATAGAACAATGTTTACAGTTATTAGCAGTGTGCGTCACCGAATTCAGCTACCCTTAACTATTAAATCGGTTTACAACTTTATTTGAAAAGGGAAAAGGTGGAAAATCTATTAAAGTACAATAGATTTATGTAGCTTCATGTGTTAATCTGTCCATGTCAGTCGAAAAACTCTTTTCGTAAGCATTAAAGGTAATTTTCCAGGTTGCGTCATTTGACGAAGGCATGCATCCTTCACAAACAATAGGCGATCTATAAGTAACAAATGCTTTTATTTTGCTTAGATACTGTCAAAACTGTCCACGAAGCGGCAACGTTAAATCCGCCTATTTTTTGCATTCGTCAAATGCAACGTGGACAGTAGGTTAGGTAGGCTTACTGTCCTCGTCTAATTGCGATATAATCGACAACCGTTTAAGTAACTTGTCTAGCAGGGCTGGACTAATAAAACTGACCACCCATCGCCCTCTATTGCTGGCATTCATAAATACGACCCACAATCAATCAGCAAAGGTCTGCCTTTCACAAACGTAGTGTTTATTGCAGATTAGCATCATTCCGTGTTGTTTATACTCTTAAGTCACGAAGGAAAATCTTACTTAGAATGATTATAGCGTTCGCTAAACTGTTCTGTCTAATAAAACTGTTGATTCACCATTAGTAAATATTTATTGCAGGTAGATTTTACGTTTATTAGATTGGTACTAATATTGATTATATTTAATTTATTTTAAGAACCGTTATTGGTTTACATATTGCCATCAGACCACCACGCATGGGGCTCAATAAGGCTGATGGCGATACGGAGCCGCGGAGGACTTAACGGGTTACCGGGGCTACGGCTCAAAGGGCAGGGCAGGAGTAGGAACGGGGTGGTTTTTAGTCAGTAAGACACTGACACTTCCTACCGCCTCACCCAGACGGGAGAAGAAATTTGATGAATTTCCCCGCTTAATAAAAAATTGGTCTTCATATTGTATCATTTACTTACTCCATTTTTTATACTTATTAGAATGGCATTTGGCCACCGTCTCGCATCTCACCTCATCACCATCTGTATACTCCATTAACCTTCAAACTAGTTCAAACCGGACACCATTCGATCCATCCTTAGGTACCTACATTTTAAGTCAATCTTTCTCTCCCTTTTCATTTATACCGACAATAACCTTAGGGCCGATTTTCAATCAACAGATAAATTTCTTAACTATAGAATAAAATTGACATTGACAGTTCTTAGTATATTCAAAGTTATCCCTTGGATTTTTATCTACCGTTGGAATAATCCGGCCCCTAAATAAAGCAACAACACAAAAAAACTCAAAGTCACGGTCACATGTTTGCAATAAATTATGAAGAGTAGGTATTCGTAGGAAAGGTTCTCCGTTCTACTTCTGTCATTTCCTTATTTCAGTTAGTTATGCAAGCTGATGCACTGCCTGTGTTACTAAACAGATTAGCACATAGACATTCCATATTTTTAATACTTATGTCGGCTTGTAATATGCTCTTTATCGCTGTAATAAATAGACTATTTTATTACCTACGCCTTTTGTTTAGGTTGTTTCTTAACTTTAATCGTTGTGGTTGTGATAATATCCTTGTTTTCGTCAAATCGCATTTAAACCTCGAGTCAGTTTGGAAAATATATTGGTGTATCCGTTTCGAAATTGTTGCTTGTCGACAATTACAGAAGCTGAACAACGAAAGAAGTATTGAAATTACCACTTTTGATGACATCTGGCTGGGATAACGGACACCGTTTATTCAGAGTCCGAAATTAATGTCTTTGGCATTTATGGAAGTTAGTTCTAAGTACACATGGAAAGTCATCATTATCATCAACCAGAGTACGTCCACTACGAAATAAAGCAGTAAAGAGTTTCGCTCCCTTTTTAAAGGTGGGTAACTCGTTCCCTCACATAGTACCTACTGCCTCTTGAGTGTTATAAAGTAGAGGACTACTCTGCTCACCATTCTTATTGAGTTGCAATTAGAGGCGAATGATGATATCTGATTAATTGCAATTTAATGGACAATATTATTGGTATTATTAAAGCTAATTACGTAGTAACAATAATGAGCTAACTTTTTTGTATAACTGTAAATACCTCCTTGTTTTTATCAGCTACTTTATAAACAATTGCCAATTATTTAGACTGGTCTTTATTATCACCTTCAATTAATTCTATTCAAGCAAAGAATTTGTTATAGAAATGCAAGCTAACCATGAAATAAGTGAGTAAGTGACTAGTCATTTTAATGTGTTTTACAAACACATTAAAATTTGAATCTTAAGACGTTAAGTTACACCTTAAATTTAACTAAAGCGATGAATATTCAATTTTGAGATAAAGTCGGACTTCTCAACGTAGAAACAATAAGTAGGTAACAGGTAGAGGTAATTATTATCTTTGTATTAATGTGGGAAGTTAATCAATTTCGCGCTTATACATACACTACTGCTTACCCACTTTAATCCATCAACTGGACAGTAGAAAGTGTACAAGCGTAGCGTTATTGAAATAACATTTCTCATGGAATTCAATGAATTCATTCGTTGCTTATTTTGGTATGCTTATATCTACATATCTCGCCTTTTAATGATTAATAGACTTGAAATGATTGCACGGTGGGCGGAGGGGCGACAAGCTGCACCGGACTTGATAACTTCGATCTCCGCATGAAATGAATCCACAAATCAGAAGATAGATATTTCGTCTCTAGATGTGATTAGAGGTATTATGTCACGACCGTTACGGACGACCTTGGTTCCGACTCGAAGCAGGGGCAAGAATGGCGTGCTTTTTAGTGAGAGCCTGACACTCCCTCTCATCTCAACCACTGGAGAAGTCATTTGATGAAATACTCCCCACAAAAAAGGTGGCTTACTAGTTTGAAAGTGTGTCGATGGAAAGTCGCAGGTTATAGAGGTCTACAATACCATAGTTTTTTAAGGAGTGAATAAATAAATTGCTCTAAACATAATATTTTAAGTGAACTCTTTTTTATATAGGGTTTGATGACCCATTTTTTATGGAATAGGAGGCAAACGAGCAGACGAATCACCTGATGGTAAGCGATCAGCGCCGCCCATGGACTCCCGAAACACCAGAGGAATCACAGGTGCGTTGCCGGCCTTTTAAAAAGGAATACGCTCTTTTTTTGAAGGTTTGAAGGTCGTATCGGTTCGGAAATACCGCCGACAACAGATCATTCCACAGTTTTGCTGTGCGAGGCAGAAAGATTCGTGAGAAGCGCACAGTTGTGACTTGCCAACCATCTATATGGTGGGGATGCATATGCTGTCGTGAGGGTCGATGGCGAAAAGATGCGGCAGGTATCAGGTCAAACAATTCCTCAGAGCACTCCCCGTGGTATAAGCGAGAAGAAAATGCACAACGAGGCTACATCTCTACGCATTGCCAAAGGGTCTAGCCGGTTTGAAACATCCCGACA